GTTTGCTTTCAATTTGGCAGGGCGACTTGGAATAGCGTAGCCTGTATATATATATATATATATATATATAAGCATGTGAATGTTCTTATTGCATGAAATCATTCTTTTTATACAACTTTTCTTGCTATCACAGCTAAATACTAGTTATAACGGATCTTTCTCGTCATCCACCTTGAAATTTTTATTGTCGTTGGAAGTGTGTTAAAACACGCCCTTTTTCTTTTAAAACATTTCTATTTTTACCATTTGAGGCTATTAATCGTCTGGCAGTCGCACATTCTCCTCCTGGAAGTTTGGCTCCTCTGCAGCGTCGGCCAGCTATGGTCTGGGTGCCTAGTCGAAGACAAGCCCAACGGACCGCTCTCGATCTTATCACTATGACTGCAGCCTCGAACCTTACATTATCTGGTGGGAATGGAACCACCGGCGGCGGAGTTACTGGAAGTGGTGGCGGAACTGGCAGTGTAGGAGCTTCTAGTGGCTCATCTGTCACAGCAGGGGGTGCTGGAGTAATTACTGGGTCCAATTGTCCTGGCAGTAACGTCGGTGGCCGCTTCTTACCTATCTCCGGTCATCTCGAAGAGGCACTTTCCAAGGCAGCAGATCAAATATCTGACCGTGCTTTGGCTGAAGTGGTTCGCCATGGTGGCGGCATCGCTTTTTTGCATGAAGCCATTAATCGGACAGACCGTCGCCTCGTGGAAGCTCTTTTCGCTGCTGGCGCTTTACAAACAGTGATTATTTCACACCACCTTTGTTGGTCTGCTGCCTCCACAGCTCAGATGACAGCCTACCTAGTCGTAGTGATGGACACACAGGCTGGTTATCTACTTTGACTTTGGCTTAACTTTACTTCAACTTATTTTAACTTTACTCAATGACACGTTCATCTTTGAATCATCTTGTTATGCTCCGAATCCATTTTTATTACGAGTTATACCTCTTTACTTGTATTGACCTTTAATGAATAGGTAATAAACCGGAGAATGTGGTTAAGGCTGTATAAGGATCAGAAGTTATGTAGATAAAATTAATTTTATGCGTTTTCTTGATATAGATGCATTAGGCTAGAGGATGCATGGGGGAGTTGGGTCAGAGAGGGGCGACCCAGGAAGCTTTCTTGAGTTGTGTTGCCAACGTGAAGGCTTTAATGGATAGGACTTTACAGCGATTCAATGCGGATAGGTGGCGTATTATGTCTGCGATACAGTGGTTTTCCTGTATACGCATAAGTAACCGAACGCTCGTGCAGAGACGTAGACGTAGACTTAGACGAATCCTTATACGAAGGTCCGACTGAATTGTATCATCGCAGATTTAGAAGAGGGAAGGAGCGACGTACGAGATTGAGGAACACATTTAGTGAGGCACGTGAATGTGTACAGCTCTAACTTCCAGGATGGTAGTTGTTGAGTTTGCGATATGACGCTGTCACGATGAAAAGTTTCTGATGTTGATATAAGCATTGGGATTTTCCACAGGCAAACCCGTGAAGTAAGTGGGAGGAGAGAACTAGGGCGGCATGTGTATGCTGTGCATAATGGGAATACGCGGTGACAAAAAACAGCGCCTTCAAATAGGACAGGTACTCGCTGTTTAGGCATTGCTTGATTGGAATGGTCGCTTCTTATTGCTTCAGGAGAGCACGCTCTGAAAGTTTCAGAGATGGGCTCGATGAAGTAGTGATATGAGATTGGTCACCATGACCGAAAAGTGCGGGAGTTATGTAGAAAAATTGATTTTCGGAGCATTTCTAGTAGATTTGTATCGAAGTATCCTTCATTTCGTTTGTAGATTTGTGATTATAGGTTCTCGACACACCGCCCTGAGACGCTGTTTAATCCTCGCTAAGCTTTCTTCCGTTATGTGATGGACATCGTTAGAACAGGCCACCATATTTTCCGATAATTCACCAAGCACAAAGATAATAAAGTCAGCCGAACCATGTCAACTTAGTGAAATATATCATTATTGGGTTGGATATCCTACGACTATTGAAAAGTAATGGCCACAATGGATGATATGTGAA